ACTGAAATAAAGTGTTCCTTTACATATAAGGTTTGCAATGAAACACATCTTTTTCCAGGAACCTTATCAAATTGAATTTAATTTCTGTTACTATGCAATATATTGCTGACAAACATTTATTCAGCACCTCAGCTGATCTGAGCATAGTTACAGGTATAAGAATAAGAGCAGAGAACAAGACAGATGGTCCTCCTGCCCTTGGGGGGCTGACACCCTGAAGTAAGTGGGAATTCAAGTTCCAAGATTTTAGCTATAAAGCATTATTATAACTATGACATTATAATAATATACAAGAGCAACAATTATTATTCCCATTTCATAGATTAGGACAAGGTGAACTGACTTGGTCAGAGTGGAAATAGGTAGCAGGGTAGATGCTCCCTCAGGTCTGACTTAAAATCTGTAAAAAACAGGTTTTCTCCTATAAAATGTAAAACACTTACCTCATAGTAGTATCGTGTGGAGAGAGAGCGTGAAATGTCTGGCACACACGCAGCAGCTCCTCAATAAACTATAATTTATAGTGATAGTAAAATGACTCACGGACTTGAGCACGCACATTGCAGTTTTCTTCTCCTTCAAGGTGGGGCACCTCTTAATGATGAACCTTTTTAAAAGTTCCCCTTGTGTCACCGCATTTTAGAGGATGTAAAATACATTTTTCCATAATTCGGCTTTAACTTTTTAATACCAAAAGGACTGAACTCTGCTCAGAAATCATCAAGCATGTGCAGGAGCCAAAGAGATGTTTGCAAAGACAATGGTTAATTGTGCTTTCACTTGCTATTTTAAGTATTTATCTTAACCTTGCTGACGTAGGTGTAGTAACCCCCAATCTTATGAATCAGGGAACTAGGCTCAGAGAGGTTAAATAACTTGCCCACAGCCATACATACAGCTTGTGAGTGGAGAAGCCATGGCTTCAAGTCAAGCTATTGAAACCAAAACCGTCATTTTTGTGGTATAGAATTGCTTCCGATATGACACACAAGTAAAGCGCACCAGGATCTATGACAACTTCTTCCTCGTAAAACAGAGACTGTATCGATACTGATCTTTCTCCTTGCATTTGGGAATGAGGAAATAATCAATTATCAACTGGCCATTATTTGATTTCTTGGGTGCTGGCTCAGGTGAACAGCACGGTATCGCGTGCTCTGGAAGAAGCAAAAACAAGAGGCCACATCCAGAATTTCAAAGAGGTTTTTGTCTAATTAGAGAGCCCAAGGCTCGTGAAATAGAAGTAATGACCTTTATTTTTTGGCAGCCCGATTCCTGTGGTTCTTAATAACAGCAATGTGACATTTGAGAGCCTTTACTCTATGCCAGGGACTTTCAATGCTTTGTCATCTCAGAAAAACCCTCCTGGGTGGGTACTGCCACCGTCACTGCTTTGATATGAGGAAGCTGGGGCCATAGGTAGCTGAGCAGTGGCAACCTCACCGGCATTTCTTTGCTGATCTTCCTTTGGCTTCATCCAATTATACAGTTTCCTGGGTCAAAATTGCAATACTAAGATGAATGCAAGATATAATAATTGAGACATCTAAGTTGCTTCTCTTGGATATAGTTTGCAAAAACCAAGGCATACGATACAGTGATGCTATGAAGCCACATTGATTGAGCACTTCACTGCATGTGTGTTATTCCCACGGCAACCCCGTGAAATAGGCTACTGTTAGTGCTCCTATCTCCATGAATTACTGGGAGGTTGGTTCCAACACTGTCCATTCGACACATGTGGAAAGTGGGTCTCTAAGTTTCCACAATCAGAGAGCCTGTCTAGGACTCACACCCAAGTTTAGCCAAAGCTTTGACGCACAAAACTCTATTACTATTTGAGACATTTGAAAGAGTTTTGTGTTTTGCAGCCCAGAGAAACCAGCCATTGGCCTTCTAAGGGCTCCTCCACCCCGCCCTCGTCACACACGTAAATGTACACACACTTTGTCATCTGTGGTCACTTGGTGTGACTGCAGGAGTATAATTATCCGTTCAGGACTGGGTGAGATTTCCCAGAACCAAACAGAGGACCTGGGCCTGTGTCCGTAATGATCCCGGGCACTTCTGAGACACTTCAAGGTCTCTCATTAGTAATTCCCAGCAGGAACCCTGTCAGGATGACTCACAGAGACTAAGTCATGAGCCAGGGAACCCGCCAAGTGAGCAACAGCCAGTCCTGGGTCTGGGCTTCATTTTGAATTTAGCTGCACCTCCTCAAGGATCAGAGTGTGATGATCAATGGAATTTCAAAGAACCAGTCCTGCTTTCCTCCACATTCCATGTGAACAATTAGGGGAGGCTTTCTCCACTGGATGTGAGAAACCAATTTCCCTGAAATAGGAATTTTCTTACTGGCTATCAGGAGTAAATGACTGCCTGCTCTTCCAAGTGTCTGCCTGGTGTTCATAAAGCAACATGGTACTCGGCTCATATGAAAACCCAGCAAGTCTGAAAGCATTTTTCTTTCTTCCTGAGCATACCTGCAGAGAGAGAAAGAAAAGAAAGAACAAGGTTGTGTGTGGGGGGTGGGGGGGAGTGATAACATATCTGGCATAACAATAGGAGGTATGATTTATTGAGCATTTGCTATGTGCCAGAAACAAACCCACAGTAGGTAGCTAAACGGATCTTCTGTTTGGGACTATTCATTTTTTTCTTTTATTTTTTTAAAATTACCATTAGCCCATAAAACAGCATTTTCATCACAGAGACTCACACATACTGATTCCCCCCCCCCCACCAGTTTGAAGATTTTCCTATTTAAGGAATATTTCCAGCATTCTGAGGTAGTCTTGGTTTAAGAAAAGGTGATGTAATATAGCATGATATATACGGATGAGTATATTAAGGTTAGAATTAGAAAATCTGGGTCTGAATCCTTCATGAGCCAATGGTAGCGTCCACGACATTGGGCAAATTATTTAATTCTCTAAGTTTCAGTTCTATTTATTCATTTATATTTGTTGTCATTGGAGTGAACTAAATGGGAAAATTTGGGTAAAATGTCTAGCTTAATGGCCGGTTTATCATAAGCCCTAGAAAGCTTTCTTTTGTGTACTGTGTAACATGTTACACAAGATATAGTGTGTAGTACATATACAGGGGGTGGGCAAAAGTAGGTTTACAGTTGTTCTACAAAAGACAATAGAAAAATAAGACAAGAACAAACTGTTTCGTGTACTCACAACTGTAAATCTATACATCCCTGTGGTATATAATCTTTAGTATATGCTGCATAATATGTGCTATATAGTGTATAAATAGGTACCTACACAAGTAGATATAGTACATTATGTGTAAACTGAATTGATACATAATGTATAGGTGTTATTTTTTATTAACATGAACAGTCATTCACCTCTCAGGACAAATCTGAAACGCGAGCGTTCAAGCTCAAGCTGGACCGCAGGAGATTTCCCAGCAACAAGCTAACAGCCAGCGGACAGTGACCTTACCGGGGAGCACTCGGCCAGCGCCAGGGTCAAAACACAGCCGAGAGGCTGAAGGGCAGGGAGAACCAACAGCGAGCGTCCTGGCTCCTCCATGGCTGCCGGAGCTCTGCGTTGGACCGAAATGAAAGCGTAGGAGCCACTTTCAAATTATCAATGAAAATCTCCAGTTCTCTTCCTGAATTAGTAAAGAAAGTTCTTCTCTTGCCAACCACGATGACTCTAGAAAAAGTGTGTGTGTGCGTGCGCGCGCGCGCCTACACCTGCCCAGGACAAACTGCAGGGGTGGGTGGGGATGGTGGGAGGTCGCAGGTGCCTCTCCTTTGCACAAGGTGTACAAAAAAAAGGGAGGAGGATGGGCGTGAAGGAGGTAGGCCCGGTTTTCACGGCGCGTTTCCTCCCTGGCTAAGAGGTAACGACTAGGTCGAGAGCTGGATAGGTACTACGTTGTGCGCGCTTTACTTGCATTGATTCATGAAGCCTTAATAACAACCAAAACGGAACAGCCAGGCAGGGAACTTCTGCAAATTCAACTGGCTCTCCGAGCCCAAGACCCAAAGGTGAAATGAGATGCTGAGTTTCAGCCCTTCCCGACCTTGGGAGGCGCAGAAAGCCAACCTCCCTCCAGAAAGAGTTCCGTCCAGGCGGACAGGAACCTGCTCCCGGGAGGCGCGCGGGCTCTCGGGCCCCGACGGGCGCCGGCAGCCTCCCCGGGTCCGCACTCGGAGACCTCGCCCGCCCGGCAGCGCGATTGTGCAAGCGCGGAGCTGCCGCCCCGGCCGCCACTGCCGCCTCTGCCCGCCGCGGGAGGGCCGGGAGGCGTGCTCGGCGCACACCCGGTGAACTCGCGGCAAGGCGTCCCTCCCCGGGGCGTTATCACCGGGGTGGAGTCCGCCCGCGCTCCCGCCCGGAGAGCAGCGCACCGGTCACCCGAGGCGCGGGCGCCCTCGCTCACCTCGCTGACTCCATCCTATTTCCAGACCCCCGCCCCCGCCCCGCCTCGGGTCCCGCGTCGTTCCCGGCCGGGCAAGCCAGGACCCACTCCGCCCCACTCAGAGTGCTCATTGGCCACCCAGGGCCTGCCCTGTCTCCATAAATACTTGGTCCCAGGGCATGGATCATGGAGAGGGCCAGGAGGAAACAGCAGCTCCCGTGGCATCTCTTCTACCCTCCACTGGATAGAAGACATCACCACTTGACGTCCCCACTTCGCGGCAGGCCTGGTAGTCAGACTTGCAGACCCACAGGCAGACCCACATCCCTTCCCTTCGTCTTCCAAGAGGCACCCGACTCCCGGCTGCCCTTCTCCAGCCCCTGTGGCCGGCGCTCAGCGGGCACCCGCGCCCTGAGGCTGCGGCACAGTACTACGCAGAGCATCCTCACCGAGGTCATTTCTGTCCCTCTTCCGCCTTCTTCATCACACCTGCTGGTCCTCTTTGCGTCTCTTTCCCAGAATCGTCACGCCCCCAAACCCAGCCGGCACCACTTGAGCAACCTCGCTCTTCTCGGTCCCCGCGCGTCCCTACGCGCCCGATCTCCCCGGCAGCTATGAGCTCTCGCCTCAGCAAGAGCAGCTCCCTGGTCGCCTTCTTACAGCAGCTGCGCAGCCTCGGGCAGCCCCCCAGACCCATGACATCGACGGCGTGCGCGCCCCCTCGGCCGCGCGAGGTGCCCCTGTGCCCGCTGGCGGAACGTGGCGAGGCACAGAACGCGGCAGCCTTGCCCGGCCCCACCAACTGGCCACTGCTGGGCAGCCTCCTGGAGATTCTCTGGAAAGGGGGGCTCAAGAAACAGCACGATACGCTGGTAAATGTCTCGTCGCGCCCCAATTCCCTCTCCCTTCCCTGCCCTGCGCTCCAAATCCTCCCCGAGGCGCGCGGCCCGGGCGCGCGGGGGGCTCGGGGTATCCCCGCCGGGGCGGTCCCGGTCCCGGTCCCGGTCCCGGGCGGGGGAAGGAGGCGGGAGGAGGGAGAAGCACCCCGGGGACTGCCAGGGATGCGCGCTGACTCTGCGCTGTGCCCGGCCCGCTGCAGGCGGAGTACCACAAGAAGTATGGCAAGATTTTCCGGATGAAGTTGGGTTCCTTCGACTCAGTGCACCTGGGCTCGCCCTGCCTGCTGGAAGCCTTGTACCGCACGGAGAGCGCGTACCCCCAGCGGCTGGAGATCAAACCCTGGAAGGCCTATCGCGACTATCGCCAGGAGGGCTACGGGCTGCTCATCTTGTGAGTCCGGGCGGCAGAATGGGGGCCGGCGGGATGGGGACCGGCGGCTGCGCCTCAGGCGCTTGGAAACTGGGAAGAGATGCCCTGGGGTTGGACGCTTCTTACTCCGGGGACGCGGAAGCCCCTGACCCGATGCAATCGTGCCTTCCTGCAGACACCTGAGTGGGCGGAGGGACAGCTCTACTGTGAATCCGCCTAACACCTGCGTTCTCTCTGGCACCTGGGTAGGGCCATGCACGTCCAACAAAGACATGCCAAAAAATGTTACACTAATTGTGGCAAGAGGAGGTTCGGAAGTCAGCGAGCCAGGCAAACGTGCTACAAGCACCACCACCACCACCACCACCAACAAAAAATCATCCCTTAAAATTCTCTGTAACCCCCTCTTAGAAGCTCAAACGCCAGAAATGAACTTTCTTTCTGGAGGGGATTGAAGGCTGGGATGAGGTGGGGTGTCTAATTTGCATTTTAGATACATAAATGCCTTCATGTGATGTGATTTCTGTGCTTTTTAATTGTTACCATTTAACAAGATAGCACTTTTTTACCCCCCCCCCCAAATTTAATGCCTAAAAGCTATATTTGTAGGAGATAATGTCTGGAATTTAAAATCATAGCAGTTCGGGGTGCATCACGAGCTGTGTGGTCCGCTACGGGGCAAGTGCAAGAGGGTGGCTGAGGGGAGCAGGCTTTTCCCAGCCCCTGGGAATCTCTGGCTGTGGGTTATTATTTGGAGACAATGGGAAAATTCCAAATTTGAGGTGTTTTGTAAATGTGGCTTTCAGGAGGTTGAAAGATTTTTCCTCTAACAGACCTGGGTTTCCGGTGGCCGGGGCGGGGGGCAGGGGGGTCTTCAGGTGCCTGCTCTCCTTGCTGGGAAACAAGGCATCTGGCCTCCCTGCTCAGACCCAGCAAGGACACCTCAACAGCCCTCGACCCAAAGTACCTGTACATCACCTTTCTGTGGCTGAGAGGAAAGGTACTTTCTCATCCTATCGTCAAACCAGCCCCCAGCATTCCAGTGCTTTTAATTTCTGGCGATTTCTTGGTCCTATTCCCAGTGTCCATTGACGATAGAGTTCTCACAAGCTGCAGAGCTGGAGGGGATCTCTGCTTCTTTTCAGTTGGCTCTAAGTCGATTTCTGCTTCTCTCCCAGGGAAGGAAAAGACTGGCAGAGGGTCCGGAATGCCTTTCAAAAGAAACTCATGAAACCCGTGGAAATTATGAAGTTGGACAACAAAATCAATGAGGTTTGCAGGCTGGGGCCCGCTTTCCCGGTTCTGTTGCGGAGGGAGCAAGGGTTAGGGTCACAGCTACAATGTGCAGAATGTAAAGTGGGTACTTTGGATGGTTCGGGGTCTTCACTTTCTCCTCATTCCTCTCCACACTGTCCTCCCCCACCTCCAAAGTCCTTATTCCACCTTTAAAATACCACCGTGAGGGAGCAGTTACACGCACAGACTTCGGTGTTCCACAGTCTTGGATTTGGACATCAGCCTTCCACTCTGTGTAGTCTCACGAAACCATTCCACTTCCCTAAGCCTCAGTTTCCCAGTCTATAAAATGGGAGCAGCACTTCTCACTCCACGGGTTTGCCGTGATGATGAGACGAGATCGTGCTTATGAAGTTCTTTGGCTGTGATATTTGACCTGGGTTTTGCAGGATGAGGAGTCTACAAGCCGCAGAAGGTAGAGAAAGGAATGTAGGCAGAGAGAACAGCCTGCTGAAAACATGGAGACGGTGTGTCTCGATGTGTTTAGAGAAAATATAGTCAGAATGGGACTTTTCTGAAAAGATGCTGGACAGAAGGCAGGTCTTGCCAATGTTTTTGTGCCACGCGAAGGTATTTAGACACATCCTTTAGCCAACAGGGGGCCAAAGGGCAAGCGATTTAAGCATAGAGTAATCTCTTTGGACTCCTATTCACTCTGGGTGTTTATTTTGAACCGAACTGGGACCCGCATAAGATTGTACAGGTAAAAGATCGCAAACTCAGAAGCTTTCAGGGCCCAGGTAATTAATGTAAAGGTATAAGGTAGGCCCTGTAGGGGTCTCAGGCAAGAACAGCGCATGTCCTTTCTAGAGGTGACAGCTGCCCCAGTTTCAGGAAATGGCTGTCCCATGGGAATGCAAATACGGTATCACTGGATCCTCTCATTTCTTCTTCTTCTTCTTCTTCTTTTATTATTATTATTCTGAACAAGTAGAGGAAAGTCTCTGTGTTCATGTGACATCTCAGAATTTTTGATGGTAACTCATTCAAAGTACTTCTGAATGTACTAGGCGGGCAAACGAAGCATCATAGGTCACGTGGGTGGGCCCTGGAGTGATGCTGGCTTTGCTCCCAGACCCAGTGTGGCCGCTTCTCAGCTCTGTGTCAAGGGCCAGTGCCTGAGCCTCTCTCTGCACCTCAGTTTTCTCATCTGTTACCTAGGAAATGGAAGAAATGACAGTACTTTCTCCCTCACCAGGGTGTTGTGAAGATCAGCTGAGAAAATACCCTTTGTGAGGTGCCTGGTACTCTAGAGCCTCATTAAAGGAGAGGCCTTTGTCATCTAAAACCCTGATTTTGGAAACTGGCATCAGACGGCCTTACATAACGTGTCCAAGGTCACAGAGCTATTTAGCGAGGGAGCTGCGTCCAGCATGTGCAGATTTTCTGGCTCCTTGTCCAACACGCTGAACACAAGACCAGTCGGCAAAGAGACGTTTGCTTGCCCAGATGTGGACGCGGCAAACCTCAGGGCAGTTACGGCACCATGGGCCCTGAGATGCCGTGCCAGCAGGGACACTCGACTGAGTTCTCCTTTGTGGTCTGTTCCCCATTTGGATGAGAAGAAATGTTTTCCTTTCTTTAAATTTAGATCAAAGGCTGAAACTTAAGCGTGGGGGTGGCTGCAGGGAAAGCTGAGGAAATACCCAGGGGCAAGGTGGTTAGGGCCTCAGGTGCTCTCCCAAGGATCATGCATAATTAATGTTGCTTCCAACAGAACGACCTTCCGGCCAGTGAATGTATCCCAGGTAGCAAAACCCGGAGTTAGCTCACTGAGCTCTAAGTGTGTTCCCTCAAAGACTAAACTGTGCTTTTGTGGCTTCTTTCTTTCAAGGTCTTGGCTGATTTCATGGGTAGAATGGATGAACTGTGTAACGAGAGAGGCCACATTGAAGACCTATACAGTGAACTGAACAAATGGTCATTTGAAAGTAAGTCATCTTCACGCTCTCATTCATTCGACTTTGCAAGTGAGGCTGAAACATGGCTCTGTGGACAACTTGACAACTCTTGTGTAATCATATACTGTTCTGACTAGGAAAGGCCCTAGCAGCCATTCCAATGCTTTCAGGCCCTGAAGCTATGCTTGCTTTGCACTCTGGGTTGTTTGTGTAGTCATTCAACAAACACTCTTTGAACAGCTGCTACATGCCGAGCACTAAGCTAGGGACACCGCAGTGAGCAAAACAGGCAACACTCTTGCTCACATGGAGCTTGGGTTCTAGTAGGAGTGATTGTTGACAAGTAAACACATTGATTTTAGAGAAGGAGGAAAGGGGAGAGAGAGAGAAAAACATTGATTGAGAGAGAAACATCGATTGGTTGTCTCCTGCACTCACTGGTCTATGGGACAACGGTCCAACCAACTGGTCCACCGGCCGGGACCACATTTTAATATATACTCTGCCAAGGGGTAAGGGGTTCAAGAAAGAACATGGGTGCCTAGATGAGGTGACTCTGCTTTGATACAGAGACATCTGAGGTGAAACCTAAAGGAAAGGGAGGTGCCAGCCACAAGGGTACCTGTGGGAATGTTGTCCCCGAGAGCGGGGACAGGAAGTACAAACGCCCTGGGACAGAAGCGTGAGCACGCCTTTGAGAAACTCTGAGGATGCTGGTGTGCATGGACGGGACGGGGAAGGGGAGCTGGGGAAGACCGGGGCCTGTAGGTCCCACAAGAACTTTTATTTTATTTTTATTTTTTTAAAGATTTTATTTATTTATTTTAGACAGAGGAAGGGAGGAAGAAAGAGAGGGAGAGAAACATCAGTGTGTGGTTGCTTCTCGCAGGCGCCCTACTGGGGACCTGATCTGGCCAGCAACCCAGGCGTGTGCCCTGACTGGGAATCGAACCAGCAACCCTTTGGTTCATAGGCCAATGCTCAGTCCACTGAGCCACACCAGCCAGGGGCAAGAACTTTTCGTTTGAGTCAAATGGAGAGCCACAGAGGCTTTGAAACAGAAGGGGGCACGATCACTTTCTTCAAGGATCAGCCGGGATATAAGAAGCAGATCACCGCTCATTGGGGGTGCAGGCAAGGGAGCAAGGCCAGCTCAATAAACAAAGCAGGGTCAAGGCCATGGGCCCATCGGAGAGGCATGCCCCAGCTGAGCTTGGCTCGGGGGTGCGTCGCGGAGGTGGGCCATCTCAGCAAGGGCCTGGCGCATGAGTGGGAGTTCGCCAGGAGCAAGTGAGGAAGGAGGAGCGGTCCAGGCAGAGGCGCAGAGACAACGGTGAAGGGACAGAGAGGCATTTGGAATGACTGGGGCGCAGCCTGCAAGGGAGGGCAAGGGCGGAGGGTGGGAGGAAGGCAGCAGCCAGCCTCATAAATCCATATAAACCAGGAGTTGGGCTGTGCGCCTGGGAGCACCTGGGAGGGACGGTAAGTGCTTTCGGCAGGAGGGTGGCGTGGTTTCCCGTGCTACAAGGGTCACTCTGGTGCTGACACTAGGGGCTGGGCGTGGCGCCCCAAGATGGTAGCCTGTGTCCTGGCCTGTCTCCTCCATCAGGTCAGCCTCACGTTAAAGTTATAGACCAGTCATCTTGGCCCACGAGAGGGCTCCATGCAAACAAGAGAGCCACGAAAGGTGTGAAGGGGTGAAGAAGGCTGAAGAGAGGCGATGATTATAGAGGAGAAGCGAAGTGTGTGTTTTGGAAGTTATCCACTGTCAATACCCAAATTAAGGAGTATCGAATGCATTTCTTTGTAAGTCAAGGAAAATCTGACTCAGGCAGTTTAAAAATTATTGTCTAGCATTCCAGGAAGTCCACAGGAAGGCCGTCCGCGTCCGCGGCTGGCGCTCAGCGATGTCACTGGGGAGCCAAGTCCGCGCACTGTCTGTTCTCGCGCATCCAGCCTTAGTGTGCTGGCTTGTTGTAAAATGGCTGCTGCCCCTCCTGGCTTCACCGCTGCATTTTGGGCGAAAACAAGAAGAAAAGAGGGTACAGGTCCCACTTTATCTAGAGAGCAAAGAAAGTATATCCTTTTGGTCCCACTGGCCGGATGGACTTGGGTCATGACGCTGCTCTGGAGGCTCTGGGAAGTCAGGGAACAGGCTTGTCGCCAGAGTCTCTCAGATCCATCCTGATTGATTGCCAGATACACAGACACCCTAAATAAAATCATTGTTGTCTTAGGGGAGAAACGAGGCCGAAGGAGTATTGGGTAGGCCATTCACAGTGTCTGCTGCGCCTGATGTCAATGATAAACTCTGACTACCACAAGGCAGGACAGGAGTGACTCATCCACATTTGGAAAGGGCTACATTTGCACAGTGGCTTTTCTGACCAGGAGGAGCTGCAGGGGATGGGTCGCTGGACCTGGAGATAATTTCTAGGAAGAGCGATCGGGGTCTCAGACTCTTCACTCCTCCTTTGTCCTTTGAAAATACTCCACGTCTATGAGAGGTGGAATCGAGCTTTTAGTCGCCAGCTAATCAGAGTCCAGATTGTGCTGACAGCGTTATGTCCATTAACAGGCATCTGCCTTGTGCTCTACGAGAAGAGATTTGGGCTCCTTCGGAAGGATGCAGGGGATGAAGCGTTGGAATTCATCAAGGCCATCAAAACGGTGAGCGTTCCCCCGGGGAGAGAGCGGTTTCCCTGACCACGCATCCTCGCATCCTAGGGTTTCCCCATGAGCGGCGTGCACACCTATCTTATGACAATAGTTAGTGTTCGTTTTAGTGTGTGCTCTGTATCGTCATGAATGCACGTGCACATATGGACATATAACAAAGCAGCACTTTAAATCACTGGGCAAATTTAAAGTAGGAAGTTCAGTTAAAGGTCACTTGATTAAATTACAGCCTTCAAAAGCCTGAAAATTTTCAGATTTTACATTTTTGAATCATTTAGGTCGTATGTGGATCTAGTAGGTGCTGTGCAGCTGGCATAGGAGTGGCTGAAGTTTGGAAATTCAAGTGAAGAGAAAATTTATAGTTTTCCTCTTTTCCTTTTTAAGATGTAGGTTATAAGAGCACTTTTTAAATTAAACCTGACTAAAAAAATCATCCCCAAGATGATTCTGAGTATGCTCCTGGCAGGTGGGGTGGGTACGGCTTCCAGGCCCCGTGCCGAGGGGCGCCTTCGAATCCCACCCTCAGCAAGCACAGGCGGCCATGATCAGAGCCCCCCCGGCCCAGGGGGAGGCTGCCGGGGAGAGAGGCGGGGTGACGAGGCGCTGTGTTCTCGACAGATGATGAGCACATTCGGGAGGATGATGGTCACCCCCGTGGAGCTGCACAAGAGCCTCAACACTAAGGTCTGGCAGGCCCACACGCTGGCCTGGGACACCATTTTCAAGTCAGGTAACGTGGCCACACACCCAGCCTCGCTGTCCCCAGAGCTGCTGCCCGGAGGTCTGAAAGGGTCTCCTTGGCCGGGCCGCCTTGATCCGAGGATGGAGTTGTTCCTCCTGATTCCTTTGGGCTTTGCAAACACGAGTTCAGGGGTCGCCCTGGTGTAGACAAATCCTGAGGAAAAGGCAGGAGGAGGCATTGTGTTGGGTTGGGGAACCAGGAGTGGTGAGAAGCAGGAGCTTTGGGGTCAGAGATACCTGGACTCAAGGCGCCGGTCTGTTACGGGTGAGGCGGTTGGCCAAATGTGCTATCTTCTTTTCATCCTCAGTTGTCTTATCTCTACAATGGGCTAACAACAACGACAACAATAATAGTAGCACCTACCTCGATGCAACTGTTTCTAGGTCTAACAGAGACAATGCCAAAGCCTGGCATATGACAATATCTCAATGCATCAGAGCTATTTCTGCTACATTGTGATAGGGCTATTTGATGATAAGTATTGTTCTGTGATAATATATTACACATATTTAAACACACACACTGATTTACCTGCCACCAGAAAACCTAGGTTAGATCTTTTAGCCCCAAGTAACAGAACTGAGGCACAAAGAAGTTAAGTAACTTTCTTAACATTACACACCAGACGATGCAAAGCCAAGATTTGAAGCCAAGCAGAAAGGCCCTCGAAGCCCAGGCTCCAATGGCTGTACCATTTATTGTCATCATTTTTATTGCCACCATCCCCACTATTATTGTTCTGGTGGTGGCTCACATCATGGATTGAAATGATATCCCTAGAATGTACTTTACAGATATTAGAAATTTTTACGATTATTGTCAACATTCATGGGCACTGCACACGTGTGTGTGTGTGTGTGTGTGTGTGTGTACACGTGCACCTAGATTTGGGAGCCACACTCTGTATTAGTGTGTCTGCCCGTATCAGTGACCATAGACACCCGGATCTGGGTCCAGGTTCTGATTCTGAGAGCAGACCCAGGTCCCACCTTTGTCTCATCATGAACCCCTCCCAGCTCTGCCCTCTCCCTAGTTGGGACGCGTCCTACAGATCAGCAGCACCAGCATGACCTGGGAACTTGTTAGAAATGTAGGCTCCCGGGCCCGCGCCAGACCCTCAATTCAGACTCTGCATTGTTAGAAGATGCCCAGGTGACTGTCACACACGTTGACATTTGAGAGGCCCCACTCCTGTGGGGGCACCCATCCATCCTCGACGGCCCAAGTAGGCAGTGGAGCTCATCTAACAGCGTCCCTGTCCCTGTCCCATGCTGTAAAGATTTCCCCTTAGCTTCCCTTTCATCCTTTTCCTCATCCTAATGTTCAGCTGACTTCCTCTCCCTTTTCTGTTCTCCAATAGTCAAATCTTGTATCAACCAGCGGCTAGAGAAGCATTCAGAGCAGCCCAGCATGGACTTCCTCTGTGACATTTACCACCGCAATCAGCTTTCAAAGAAAGAACTCTACGCAGCTGTCACCGAGCTCCAGCTGGCCGCGGTAGAGACGGTAAGCGGGGGGCCTGGCCCTTGCTTGGCCAACAGGTAGCCTGTGGCCTCTTTTTCGTGATGAATTTTAAGGAGCCACTAAACTCATTCCTTCCACAAGGCTGGAGCGCGAGCTTAGCACAGTTAAGAAGCCCCACACTTGGCGCTATGGGCGACCCAATGCACAGGCTTTGAGCTCACACAGGACTGGAGAAAAATTCTCCTTGTGACGCCGGCCCCTAGTGCAACACTCCAGAGCAGAGTCTAAGTGCTGTGACAGATGAACACTGCTACCGGCATTCAGGAGCAGTAGACTTCCACACCACGCAACCGGTGATCTAGATTTTTACAACGTAGATCGATACTTTAGGTGCTTGTGCATGTTACCTCCCTGGGGCTGTCCATTAATTATCAAAATGTTGAAATACTCTCTGGAGAACCAGCAAATGTGGTCAGAGCTGAGAAGGGAGAAGCGGATGGGCCGCGTTCACCAGGAGCCTTAGTGAGACACTTGGCTTTTATCACACTTGCGATGGAAAGCTCTTGGAGTGTTTTAAGCAAGAGGCAACTTGATCGGATGGATGCTGTGTAAAGCGGGCTCTGGCTGGTGGACGGAGAGTGGATGTAGCGGAGAGAGAGCGCGACCGGGAGGTCAGGCCAGGACGTTTGGTGCCCATGAGGTTTTGCAGGCCACTCCCCCTCGGCTCAGCCCTGGCCGTGACCCTGACCGGCAGGCCGTCCTACAGCGCTTTGGTGAAGGCTACAGTTTTATCTGCCTTTTGGAAACCCTATTTGGTCTTTGTGGTGACGGACCCACTGATAGGGTGAAATCTGTTTCTTTTTTAGTCCTGGCTATTCTGAAAGTCTCATTTGGAAAAATCAGAGAAATTTGAAAGTCTGTCTACTTTGGCGGCTCCTCCCTCTTCCTGTTTTGTAAATTAGACTCTTGCACTAATGACTTGGGCAGTTTATTTGCAGCTGAGGCTGCCAGTCCTCTGATATGAAGAAGCCTGCCTTAGGGGACGGCTTCTTCCAAAAACAATAAACGCCACTGGCTCCAAAGCGCCTTGCACTTTGCTCATTTATGTGACTGGCGCATGGCACTTGGCTAAAGCGTCTTCCTGTCCACAGAGAAAGGACACAAGGACCATTTTTATAGGACTATTTGGTTTAAATTAGCTTAAAAAAAGAAAGGGCCTAAAAAACAAATACTTCTGACTACCAGTGGTGAATATTTGAAGCTAAAAGCTACCCTTGGCTGTTTCCGCCAATATTTTTTCTCTTCTTGTTGCCTTTGGAAAGGAAGTTGAGGGTGCCACTTAAAAGGCCACGAGCCTTTGTCAGAAACTGGGCTGGTACCTTGCAACATTCAACTCAGCGCTAGAATTTCTTATTTTGGTGCTGGCAGCCTCCTTCGAGGGCTCTTTGCATGTGGCTGAAACCCTGAGTATAGATAATGCCTTTATAGTTTTGTGGTAACTTTTTAGGGTGTGGCAGGAAAAAAAAAACTCTTCTTTTAAATTCCAGCAATGCAGTTTCTTGGGTGTTTGCACTGTAGAAAAATGTTTTTAATCTTTTATAGCAACACTCCTAGGATCTCTGTTCCTCTCTCCCCACTCAATTAAGTAATTCTCGAATTAAACGCTTTTCCTTTTGAGATAACTATAGAGTCAGCTGCAGGACTAAAGACAATGGAGAGGGGCCCCTGGAGTCCTCCCTCCAGCCCCGCCCCCCTTGGAACCACCTCCCTTAGCGATGAGTGTTATCTCCGCCCCAACATTGACCTCGATCCAGTCCACCCACCTCGCTTTTGTTCCACCAGTTTTCCATGCACTCCTTTGCGTTCAAACCATTTCTGTATGAATATTTTAAGTGTCCTATTGTGGCAAATTATTCACAGGATTCTATTTTGATTCCCTGAATAAACAAAGTATCCTTCATTTGACTGTTCATACATTGTAATCACTTAGGGACAAACAGGGACATGAGAAAAAACATCAGTGTTTGTTGTTGTTTTTTTTTTCCTGCAGAGCAAGGTGGACGGCCTGGCCTTGGCTTCAGCCCAGACGGGCTTTTAGGCAGTTTCTTCGCAGAAACTCAAGTTTGTGTCCCTTGCTTTTTCAGACAGCAAACAGCTTAATGTGGATTCTCTACAATTTATCCCGCAATCCCCATGTGCAACAAAAGCTTCTTAAGGAAATTCAGAGCGTATTGCCTGAGAATCAGATGCCACGGGCCCAGGATTTGAGGAATATGCCATATTTAAAGGCCTGTCTGAAAGAATCCATGAGGTGAGCACACGTGCCTGAGCCAGGGAGTTAGAACGCTGTCCTCTTAGGGACGCAAGGAGGCGTCCCTCCAAAGACCGCCCCCACGACTGACTGTTACACATTTATCAAAAGGAAAAAAGACAAGGGAAAAGAAAACAGAACCTCAGGGCCATATTCCACTTCTATTGACATTCATTTCCTAAATCATTTGGGCAAATTCTCTTACATCTTGGAAAGTTAGCGGCGTCCTTTTACATTGGTACCAATACTCTAACGAACGCTGTAAGCACTGATCAGGGTTCTGGGCAGGACTAAAGGATCTGAGACGGAAGCCCAGCCAGGGGACCACCTTATCATGTGATAAGACATAGGTATCTTTTATTTTGAGGCTCCAGGAGAAAATGCTCTTTGAAAATTTTTTTCAAAGAATTTTCTGGAAAACAAAACTCACACCATCTTAGGATGGAAAGGAAATATCTTTAACTGCATTAAAGGTAGATAAGAGAAACCGAGGATAAATGTCAAGATTCAGGGTGAAACCTGGCCAGGGCAACTCAAACTGAAAGTCACCTGGTTCAATACCCAGTCAGGGCACACACCTAGGCTGCAGGTTCGGTCCCCAGCTGGGGCACATGTGAAAGGCAACTGGCCGACATTCCTCTCTTATACTGATGTTCCTCTCCCTCTCATCCTCCAGCCCTTCCCCTCTCTCTAAAAATTAAAAATAAAAATAAATTTCAAAAAAATTCATGGCGAAGCATGAGAAACATACACATTTGAAGTCTAGAATGAAACGGGAAAGCCACTACAGATAGCTCCTAAGCAGGCTCTAACTGCGGGATTTTGCCAACCCAATAAAATAAGGAATACAAATAAGAGGTGTAAATATTGGGAAGAAAGAGACAGAACTTCTTTGTGAAGAACGGTGATGAGGTTCCCCTTTTGAGTTATGAACTTATGCACCAATTAGTTACTTAACCAGAATCTGCGTTCCCATCAGCACTTGGGCTAGAACTTGGTCCGTACCTACCGTTACATCTTAAGTTTTGGTTTTTCAGACTTACCCCAAGCGTGCCATTTACAACTAGGACTCTTGACAAGGCTACGGTTCTGGGTGAATATGCTTTACCCAAAGGAGTAAGTAGAATTTGTGCTTTTTGTACCTCACAGAGCTTTGACAGACACATGTTCCAATAGGCGTCCAATTCCCCTAAAAATGTTTATAGGGGAAACATTCATTTTGTAAATATGTAGGTTGTGGTGCATAGCTGACATGCAGCATCATATAGCATCAGGAATGACAGCTCTGGGGACAGACCTGGATTCGGGTATGGACTTCACTGAACCTCGCCTTTCTGTAAAATGGGGTTAATAGTAAAATCTCCCACATGGGGTTGTTGTGAGAATGCGCTACAAAAATGTAACGTCCTTTCCCTATTTAGTACCTGGTGCATTCCAAGCCCTCCATACCTTCAGGCGAGCATCATTATTATACATTGGTGGGTGACTCCTACACTTGTAAGATGCTCACTTTTGTAAGTTGCGCCCCTCAAACATCCTCTGCTTCCTTTAAATGCCACATTTGTGTGTTTTCAGACAGTGTTGATGCTAAATACCCAGGTGTTGGGGTCCAATGAAGAGAATTTCAAAGATTCGAGTCAATTTCAACCAGAACGATGGCTTCAAGAGAAAAAGAAGATCAATCCTTTTGCACACCTTCCGTTTGGCATTGGGAAGAGAATGTGCATCGGCCGCCGGCTCGCTGAGCTCCAGCTGCACTTGGCTCTCTGCTGGGTAAGACCCTGACTGGTTTTCTGCACTTGCGTTTGGTGCTTTTCTCCAAGGCAGGAGAAGATTGGCTAATCCTTCTTTTATGTGTTCCAGATTGTCCGCAAATATGACATCGTGGCCACAGACCACAAGCCGGTGGAGATGCTGCACTTGGGCATCCTGGTGCCCAGCCGGGAACTGCCCATTGCCTTCTGCCAGCGGTGAGAGGCCGCAGGTGCGCACCTGGACACTGGGCATGACAAAGGGTGAGCCAGCCCAGAAGTCAGCCAGGGCTGGGCCTTGATCCCTGCTCACCACTGATTCTCTGGGTCACCGTGAGTGGTCACTCAACCGTTTGCCCCCTTTTTTTAATTTGTAAAATGGGGAGCAAAGTCTTACTATCCAGAAAGCTGATACAAGTACTAAAGACTCAGCCCAGAGCCCGGCATTGACTATAAGTGCTCAATAAATGCAAGCTGCTGCTAATAGCTTTTGCACACAAATATCACGGCTGGATACACTCTTTCTGTAACGCACCAGTTGGTGACTATTTTAGGCTTTTCAGGCCTCCGGTCTCTCTCATAGCCATTCCACTCTGCCTTGTAGCTTGAAAGCGGCCTCGGGCAATTCGTCAAGAAGTAGGTGTGATTGTTACATGAGTTTTCTATGGCTGCGGTAACAAACCACTGAAACTCAGGTGCAGTGGCACAAATGCATTCTGTTACAGTTCCATAGGGCAGGGGTCCGGCGTGGCTCTCACCAGGCTCACGATCATGGTGTCGGCAGGCGGCGTTTCTTTCTGGAGGCTCCCAGGGGCCCTCTCTCCCCGGGCCAACCTGGGCCGTTGGCAGTTTAGTCGCTTGTGGTTGCAGGACGGAGGCCGCCATGTCCTTGCTGTGAAGCGCTGCGCGCGGCTCCCTCGAGTCCCCTGCCTTTCTGGGTTCATGCCTCCTCCTCCTTCTCCATCTCTGTCGCCAGCAGAGCTCAGCCGCCCTCCAGGCTTTACGTCTCTGCTCCTCCTCCTGTCGTATCTCTCTGACAGGCTATTTTATTCAGGATACTCCCCCCACCTCAAGTTCCACAACCTTAAGCACATCTGAAATCTCCTTTTGCCATGTAAAGTAACATAGTCACAGGTTCCAGGACTTCAGGCATGGACAATTGTTGAGGGCCATTATTCTGCCTTCCAAAGCTGCGTTCTAATAAAGTTTTATTTATAAAAACAGGTGGTAGGCCCTGTTTGGCCCCAGGGCCTGGCTTTCCAGAGCCCTGGACGCTAAGTGCATGTATCTACCAGCCTGTATTAAATACACTGAAATACTTTCCCTGCATTCACTATTAAAGTGGTAAAAAGTTAGCCTGAGAAGCTTCTACTACCATCTGTGGAAATATGCCATTTCCAACGTACGGCTTTATAGAATTCCATGTCAGTGTTCAAAATCAGTTTTAATCATTCTACGTTTTCAACAGAATCTTCTAAAATTTGCCTAGAATTAGTTGCTGTTTGCTAACCACGAATTAAGGGGCATTTGCTGATAAGTGGTTATTTAAGGAAATATGCAGTTACGGATGAAATTTCTGAACGAGGCCTAAATGAATTCGTCCCCAAGTGTCTGGTCCCATGAGGCAATTTGTTACATGCTGAGCATCCCAACAGCACTGGATCAAGCAGAATGATGAAGGAGTTCTGGCCACATTTTGAAACTCCCTGTCTTTAGCAAGACGTATGAACATCCAACGCGCAAACCACACCTTTGGCAAGAGCCCAGGGCAATTTTTGGTTTAGCTGTTTTTTTTTTTTTTTTTTTTTTTGGCTAATAATCCCTCATTTAATTACACTTCTTTGATGTATAATTGGAATATACTTTATTTTCCAGATTTTTTTTTTTAAATACCAAGACCTGGAACAGAGAGTTGTCTTCTCCTACAAGAACATCCCATGGCTTCTGCGTGACTCCAAAGCAAACTCCAAACGCCGAGCGTGAAACAACCCACAAAGGACATTAAGGCCCAGTGTTTATATTCTCTCTCCTGTACAATTGTTCCAGGAGCTGTACTGCCTATTGATGGTGGTACCTAAGATAGTATCTGACTCAGGGAAGTGGATTGAGTGTTGGAATACAGGTCAAGTGCTGGCTTACGCTTGGCCGATGTCAGCACCATCCTGATGTACACAGAATTGCCCATGATCTGGTTTCCTCCCGCATTTCCCATGACATGATAGAAAGCCTGGGCGCTTGTCAGCTGAAAGTCTCTAGACATTTCTGCCCCTGCCCTGCCAAATTCGCCACTTGAATCTTTCCTGCTGCAGAGTAAGCTTACAGAATCACAATAAAAACCTACTAGAGCCAAATTGTCTGGGGCTCGGGGTACTATTGACCATCCATTTTGTGTAACTGCTTAGTGTAACATTTGGAAAACTATTTCCTCAATAACATAAGCAAAGGCCAAATGTCCCTATGCCGCTGGCCTTTGAAATAGGAGCATCGCTGGGAAATTAGAGAATGCCTCTCTTTTAAGAAGTACTTTAACGAAGTCAAAACCTCTTATGTAAGAATACCTTAAGGAGTTACTGTGGTAGCGTTTGGTTAGAGGATCCTGAAATTCTTTACTTAGTCAATGTATTCCCTCTATGGCCTCAAGGAGTTGGGTCAGCACTTTTAAACTGTACTTGCAGTCATTTTTAAAAATAGATGGTATTTCATTTAGGATCTGTGGTTTGAGGCAATGTTATAAAGTTCAGCTAGAGCTTAAAAATATTTAGTGACCTCCCATGTCTTAATTTCCCCATCTGTAGAATGGGACAGTAGCAAAGTGTATGTACCCTATAGATTAATCATACCTGGGGGAGGCAAAAGGAGGTTTACAGTTGCTCAAATAAATAATTAATAAATAATAATACAAGAATAAGCTCTGTATTTCGCATACTCTCAACTGTAAGCCTCTTTCTGCCCACCCCTAGGTATAACCATTCTTATGTGATTTGAACTCTTTGGGCAAATATAATTTCCTAAGTGGGAAATGCATAGAGATTTATGCAATACTTATAAAACTTTTTTTTAAAATTGTGTTTACATATGGTTTTTTTACACATATTTTTACTACCACTTTTCTTAAAAGCATACTACATATTTCTGTAATTTGATAAAGATTTCCCTTGTTAGGTTATATTTTTAGAATATTTCAGGAGTATACGTTTATATCTTTATATTTGAATACATATGTACAGATTGTTAAAATAGGTATATGCTTTCTCCTTGCTATGAAATTATTTTTAGAATTATAAATTCATACGTTTTCAGAATTCATCTGTGTCTCTTTGTTGAATTCTCTGAAATAAGAATAAAGGTTTTAAAACTTGAGAGATGTTTCTCTTCATCGCCCTTGTTGCAACAAAATTTTAAAATTTAAACTTTGTCTTACTAGAAAAACTCTCATGTGTCCATTTCCCAAGCTCTGTAACACCAAATCTACCTTCCTGAAAATCTGGACTCCACTAGCAGTTGTATGGAAACATGATCATTCGAAGAGCAAATAAGTTTCTTTTTCTCACCCCCTTCTTAAATACAGAGTTCAGCACAAATAAGGCCCCTTTTTTATTACAAAATCTTTTATTACAAATCATAAGCATGTCGTTCTGTAACATAATAATGTCACCCTCAAACACACCCTATACATTTTAGGTGAAAGGTTCGAATTAAAACTGTAACTTACGCTGCCCATAGAGTTACCCTGCCAACCGCACTCCGCAGGGTATTTGTTCCTTGCGCCAGACCCCCTGTTTGTCAAGTCCATCACACCCCCACCAGCGGGGCCGCGGCAGAAACCCCAGTGCGTCTCCCTCTTGCTTCCCTCCAGCCTCTTCCTCATACACTTGCATGTTGGTCTTCTCAAGACCCAAACCCCATCATGTCTCTTTCCTGCTTCTGTGCTTCCCATGGCTCTTCAGAAGGCCATTGTCCCCAGCTGGACCTCGGTGTGCTGCAAGGGATGGCCCCACTGAGCCGCTGGCCCCCGCCCGCATCGGCCTCCCCGTGGATGCCCCGGACTCTGCCCCCGGCTCCTGCCAGCTCCTCTATTTCTTAAACATCACCTGCCTACACTTTGGCACCTGCCATCTTCCTCCTGGTATCTTCCTCTGTCTCTCTTCCTCCTCCCCTCTGCACCAGGCAGAGCCCCAACCACGCTTCCTGCAGGAAGTCTTCCTTGATGACCAAGATCTTCCCCGGAAGCTGACCCCAGGACCCAGGTTCACCAGAGAAGTGATTCCTGGGGACACCCATGGGGCAATGAGGGAAACAGGACAGGGGCAGGACAGGAGCCAGAGGAGGGTGCCGTTGGTGGAAGTTCCCGCCCCCCCGGGTCCTTGTTGCTTTACAGGGCAGCACCCAGGGCATGGTGCGCTCTCCTCGGCTGCACCTGGGGGCGTGAAGTCCCAGGGGCTCTAGCTCTTGGTCTGTCCATGCCAAATAGCCACGGCAGCCAAGGGGCTGTGGGGGGCGGGGCTGGCTTCTAACAGGTGCCAGCTGTTAGAAGCAAAGCATCAGAAGCTGGGGGCAGGGCGCCCCAATGGGCAAAGGGTCAAGGGCATCTTGGGAACCAAGAAGGGTGTCAGCTACCCCTCGCTTCTCTGAGCATGTGGCCCAGAATGGACACTGACTCACAAGGTTGTAACCATGATAACAACTAACTACCACCTACTGGCTGCTCTGCACCAGACGCCCTGCGCACAGCTGAGACACACGAACGCACAAATCCTCACACCTCCCCCCCATCGCACAGTGGGGATTATAATTCTCCCCATTTCACACCTGAGGAAACAGGCTCGTTGGTCTCCAGGTCTCCAGGTCTATGTTCTGCCTCCCACAGCAGGTCCCTCTCCTTCCTAATTCCCATGATGGCACATTGACGTGATTATGTGACTGATGCGTGCCACCCACATGCACACTACACACACACACACACACACACACATATTTTTGATGAAGACAGGGACATATTTGCCCCTGTATCCATGATACCTGGCCTTGGGCTCATAACTGGCTCTCAGTAAACATGTTTCTTCACCTAATTGCCCTTCTTGGTAACGTTCACGAAAGCCCTTTGCCCTGGCTGGTACCTCGCACTGCCTACCTTCCTTCAGGGGTTTAATTCCTCCACTGCCTGATCCAGTGCCAGGCGAGCAGGACCTACTTCCTTACAGGGCCAATAATAACATGGAGACATCTTCCAAGGATTGAAGGATATATGTGAAGTATGGTTCATATAACGTTAATATATAGGCTATTATAACACGATGAAGCTTACTATTGACACGTAGCATGTAAGTAAGTGTGAAATATAATAATACAATGCATAATAACCTCGATCTGGTATATGTAACTTTTTCCCCCCAAAGGCTTCCATGAGTCAGACCTACTTCAAATACCCCAGCTCACCTGTCCTGCACAACAATTGTGCTGCTTCACTCACTGTGTGTGTCAACTTGGCCAAATGCCAGGGCCAGTTGTGTGACACTTTCCAGGACCTTGACCAAACAATTCCTCACCCAGCCCTGCCAGGGGCCTTCCCTGGCTTCCCAGAGGCTGGGAGCAGGCAAATACCTCACTCAGGAAGCACAATAAGCAGAGACCTTAGCCTCAAACCCCAACCTCCCTCACTCCAAGCCCCTGTTCCTTCCCGTACGTACACTTTGTGGCCAGTCTGTTCAACTGCCCGCAAGTGCTTAGGATGAGTCTGTTGAACAACCCTGGCTGAGAGCCAAAGCTCCGTTTATGATTCGATGTAATTTGTTGAGCTTTCCCTAATCTCCTGGGTTGAACGTTGATCCAAATGACTTAATCACTTATTGCTGTCCATGACTGTTCTGCCCTGCAAACCTCCCTTTATCAGCAAAAAAATTATTTGCAGAATCCTTAATCATCAGGGTGCTGCGCACCTGGGGCTTCTGGGCAGCATTGGCTCCCAAGGACCGAAGCTTTAGAATTAATTACAGGATTTGTATAGTGGACCCATTTTCCTTCCAAATTCATTTCTGCTTTTGTGAAAATGAGTGTGAGATACTTTCTACACATGCTGACCAGCAAGGTGAGGTGAGGGGGAGAAAGAGTTTGGAGAGTTAAAACTAAAATTAAGTCAAGAGTTGATAGCACCCACTTGAATGATAAGTGCATTGTAATTTCTTTTCATTTCATTTTTTTAATCCTCATTGGTGGACATTTTTTTTTCATTGCTTTTAGAGAAAGAGGAAGGGAGAGAGGGAGAGAGAAAGAGGGAGAGAGAAAGAGAGAGAAGCATCGATTGGTTGCCTTCTCGTGCACATCCCCGCTGGGGGCTGACCCTGCAACCTGGGTTATGTGCCCTGACAGGGAATTGAATCTGTGACCTTTCGGGCTATGGGATGATTCTCCAATCACTGAGCCACACCAGTCAGGCCTGATGTGTCTTTTTTTTAATAATGTGATTTCCTCCTTTAGTTCATTTATTGTTGACTCTTCTTTATTTATAATTTTCCCTGATCTCTTTACACCAGGCGACACCTGTCGGAGGCCAGCGTGTTCTCTGGTGTGTGCCAACACCAGCTGATTGGTGGCGGCTGCCTGAAAGACAGCGTTGAGAAGGGTTCTAAAGCTGAGTCCAGACACAGCAGGAAGCGATCATAACTTGCTGGCAGGGCCTGCCAACAGCCTGGCATACATATTCGCTCACCCCTAGACACAATAGCTTCTGAACGCCAAACTTACAGATTTGTAATGAGAATAGCTTACATTTATCAAGCGCTGCGTGCTTGGCACTGTATTAAGTATATTACACTGATTTTTCCCCTTAGTGTTTTTATTAAGGGTGCATAAGTACCCCTGGCACTATATGTGCAAGATGAATTTTGCAAACAAATAATTTTCATTCCTGATAATGTGTGTGTGTTTATAGTTATCTTCTGGTAGTACTAGTTCTTTTTAAATTTTTACTGCTATTATGAAACTTGCTTTCTAAATCAGTTGATTTACATTGAAAGGGGAGATTATGGTAAGTGAATGATATTTCAGGGGGCAGACAAATTAGGCACCCATCATGAACATGGCACAGGAATGGCTGGACATTGGACACCGCCGAAATTTAATAACCCTGTGAGGAAGGTGTGAGCAGGCTTTTCATTTTACAGTTGAAGACACCGAGGCTTGCAGATGAGTAAGAGGCTTAAGTTCATGGAGCTAGTGTGTGATACAGCCAGGATTTGAACCCAAGAAGTCTGGCTGTGGAGATTGGACACTGTGGATGTTCCTCACTGCCTGGTAGGCATATCTGGGTGTAACCGCCTTCCCCTTCAGCACAGGCAAGGCCTGTAACTGGCTTCTACCCAATAGAATATGTCAAAGGTGATGGGATGTCACTCACTTGGTTATGTTAGAGACGACTGTAACATCGCTTTCCCAGGAGACTCTCTCCTTTGCTGGTTTTGATGAGTAAGCAGCTATGTTAGAGAGACCCCCATGGCAAGGGACTGAGGCCTCCTATTAGAAAGAAAAGTCCAAACAGGAACTGACTAAGTCTTGGGTTAGCCATCAGAACCAGCAACATGCATCAATTCATCCAATATCTATTAAATCCTTATCTATTAAAGCACATACTTATTAAGGATAAAGGAATTCTGTTGTCATATTCCAAGATTTGTTTCTTATTGTCACCTTGGAATTCTCTGTTCTTCACAGTGTAATTCACTAGGGGAACAGGCTCATCCCACCTTCCAAGCTTGGATTTATTAGTTTGTTGTTTTTTTTTTAACCCCTCAATTGTAGAAAATTATCTGAGATCATTGTTCTCAAATACGTTTGCAGTTTTAAATTCCAGGTACGTTTTAATGAGAGGAAAACCCCACAAATGGGTTATCTTACTTCTTGTTGAAAATGAATAAATGAAAGCAAGGAAGAAAACAGGAAAGCGATAATAAGAGAGACACTGATGTTTTTGAGACCCCAAGGAAGTGGGATTCTAGTTTTCATTAAATAACAGGCAGATTGTTCATTAAAATGAGAGATTAAAATCATAAGGCCACAAAGATGAGCTCAGGATTGGTTGCAGAGGTGCGTTGTTGGCCAGGTCCTACCTGCTGAGGCAGCAGAACAACACAGATATGTTGCCATCATGTTCGTAATGAGATTCCTGAGATGAATTCCTTCGTTTCTGTTTTTCTTACAGTTTCCGGAGAAAGGTGCTGAGTATGACTTCGGACAAGCATTCAGTCAGTCTGCCAAATCCTTGCAAGGTTCACTAGCAAGTGACCTGGGAAAAAATTCATATTAAGCCTTTAAAAGTCTACAAGTGCCGGAAGAGCTTAAAATAGTTAACTGATCAACCAGCCCTGAATGAACTTAGAATAAGCTTGTGTAGCATGTTCCTTGTAGGGACCAGAAAAAAAGAAGAAAAAAGCAGAAAACAACTTCATTTGAGGAAAGGACAATTCACTTGTGGAGGTTAACATCAAACTTCTTAGGAAATTAATGACTATGGTAGTAGCTATTCATGTTCTGGCAGATCTAATGAAATCACATTTTATCCCTAAATTCCTAAATAACTTTGATCAAGAAATCTTGGGAGCTTGCCCAGTTATACCAGTCTATTCAAATAAACTGGGTAACTTGTCTGTTCCTATTTGCAGAAGAATTTTGGATTATTGGCACCTTAAAATGGAGTTGTAACACTTACCCACAAAATTCCACAGGTGTGGAAATGACCGGCTCCATCATTTTCAGGGTTCAGTAGACAAAGAAAATGAAAGGCTCCTAGTTAAAAAAAAAAATTAAGACTTTCAAGAAGGGGCACAAAGAATCGCAGAGTAGCGGCACGGTGCAAGGCCCACCCCGGTGTGGGCCCCCGCGACCGACCCAGCCAGGCCCCACGCCCACGGAGCCGGTCTTGACAACGCAGGAAGATGTTTGACCACCATTCAGATCCTGGGTCGGTATAGGTAAGTTACATGTTTTCCTAGAAAATTTTCCATCTCATTTAGAGTTGTAAATGTATTGGCCCATAGTTGCTCAATGCATTCTCTTACAAATTTTGAAATATCTGCTATAATGGCAAGATTTTAAAGTCCTTATCATTATTTAGTCACTCGCTGTCTGGATCTCAACCAAAACCCTATATCTTTAATCTTTCAAAGGGCAAAGGCTTGGTTTTTCTCTTTCCCTTTCATTAATTGTTGCTTTCATTTCTATTATTTCTTACCTACTTTCTCTTCCTTTATTTTTTCCCCCTGATTTCTATAGCCCTGGATATTAAAAACAGGGCTGGTAATCTTTTCCTCCAAAAACCACTAGCTTAAGAAATGTACTTTTAGTTTCAAATTTTGGGGTTCACGTCATGTGAACTGGGCTGGCGAGTGGGAGATTATGTTATAAACCAAGACATCGATTCCAGCCTTCGCTGCTCACATCTGTGTCCTCACAAAAGGTGGCCCAGGTTCTAAATTGGGGCCAGCCCTTCAGGGGACACATGTACCTCACAATTTCTCGCCCTTGTGAATACCACCTTGGAGCAACATTTGCCTATGCATAGACACAAAATAACTAGATTTTTAAAAAGTAAACCTTTAAATGTGCTTGATGAAAGTTATTGAATTCACAGCCAGGGGTGATGAACTTCCACAGAAAACCCTTTATTTACAGAAACAGATGCCCAGCCTGTGGGCTGTAGGTGGCCAGTTTGGGTTTTTTTAAAGTATTACATTGAAACAGAATAAGCCTCACTCGCCTTACCCTCATCCCGGCTCTGCCAGGTGACAACGCCAAAAAGCACAGGGGGAGGAAGGCTGGGCCATCACGCAGTGACATCTGTCCAACCGCCCCTTGTAAATTACACGTTTCTAATTCTAATGTCAACAAAATGCCACAAGTCCATGTATCATGGGCTTTGGGAGTCCTTCCCAAATCTTCGGATGACAAAGATGTAGATAAAAATAGAGTTATTTGATTTGGAAAAAAAACAAAAACAAACCTTACCCATAGGACATAACTTTTATTTATTCAACAAACATTTATAGAGCTCTTACCCCCTGCCTGCCATGGCACTAAGCATTTTACAAGTTTATCTCATATAATCCCCATAGTAACTTTGCCCTCGATTTTAAAACTGGATGCAAAGAAATGTGACTTTGCTAGAGAGTGGCAGCTGTATCTAGGCTTCAAATCCAAGCCAGCCTACGGCTGAAGTTCCTAACTACTACCCAGTCAAATGGCTTGTAACTGTGTAAACTCATCAAGATGCCCCGTCCACCAAGAATCCGTCTCCTCACAAAATGAAAGAGAAATACCCTTCACCATCCCTCTTTTCCCCCTTGGAATACAGGAAGATGGCGTGAAACCGTGGCTTTAGAAAAAAAGGCACCTCTCTCAGTGACTGTTTGCTGCAGAAGAAGTTGCCAAAAAAAAAAAAAAAATAGGGCTTTTCAAAGAATTTCTATCACATAGTTTTCATGGGGCAGGAATGTCTGGGCAGCTCTGGTTCAGAATCTCTGATGAGGCTGAGATCCAGGTGTTGGTCAGCGTTCCAATTACCTGAGAGCCCAACTGTGGCCAGAGAACCTTGTCCCAAGATGCCTCCCATCTGGGACAGGCAAGTGGGGACTGTTAGTGGAGAGCCTTTGTTCCTCACTACACAGACGTCTCCATAGGCTGCTTGAATGTTCTCACAACACAGCTGGTGTCCCCTGGGGAGAGCAATCCAAGGGAGTCAAGACAGAAGCCACGTTTCCTTCTAGGACCTCAGCTTGCAAGTAACACGTGCCATTTCTGCAACATCTTATGGGTTACGCAGGCCTGCCTGCTGGCACAGGAGCGGACTACGCAGGGGCTCGCGTGCTGGAAGAAGAGAATCCTTGGGAGATGCCTTGAAGGCTGCTACCCCTGTGCTCTGCATAGAGAAGCTGTAACAGTAACTACCATTTACTAAAGGGCTTATATGTGTCCAGAACATGCACAGCACTCTGCACGTGTTACTTCGTTTTAAATGCACAGCAACAGCAACCACTTGTTACTATTATCGAACCCAGGATACAAATGAATACCCAGATTGGGATAAATTAAGAACCTTGTGTGAAGTCATCTGCCTGGTAAGGGAGAGCCTAGGCACGGATCTAGGGTTTGATTGTAAAGCCAAGGGTCTTAAAAGCTCTATTTTATCGCTTGATTTGATATGAATTTTTTTTTTAACAAAGTTATCCAGACCAACCCTAGCAGATCAACATGTCTCACCTTCCACAGTCAGTGACATTTAGGGAAAAATAATTCTCTGTTGTGGGGGTGCTGTGGAATATTTAGTAGCACCCCTGGTTTCTACCTGCTGGATGCCCACAGCACCCTCTTTCAGTTGTGACAAACCAGAGATGTCACCAGACATTGTCACTGTCCCCAGGGGGAAGAAATCACCCCATTTGAGAACTACTGTTCTCTCACTAGCTACTTCTCACTAGAACTGTTCTCTGTTGAGATTCCATTTAAATATAGTGCAAAAGGTCAAGCATTAGAGGCAAATTCCATTCCTTACAACGAGAATTTTAGAAGGAGTACGCATTCATTCCACATTTATTGTCTCCCTGGATACTTGTACACACAACTTTTAAAATGCCCACACTGGGTCACGACCTTTCCAAGAGATGTGGGAACGAGCTATTAATTGTTGGAGGTGAACGTCTTCACTACGGATCAGCTAAGGAACAAGGAACTGGCTTGTCGGGCCAGATTAGGCTGAGCAAACTATGAACCCCGGGAGCAACTGAGTTAATTGTAGCAAAAGGTACGGTGTCTTGAATGCATTCCATTTATCCAATTCAGAAGGGATTTTATCCATCTTTGAAGCAAAGTTTAGGGGATATGTGAATTTCCATGCCAGTGTTGAAATTGCTTTGGGACTCTATGCGTCATTAATGTATTTACCATGCAATGCAAACAGTTCGCATGGGTCTTGTACCAGCAGTCAGAAAAATGACTTGTGATCATGACTGCTCATACCACGTTGTCAGTAATTCAGTTCTAGACAACGGCTTTGGGAAACATGTTTGTCTCAACAAGTTAATTTTACCTGTTATTGAACAATAAGGCAGCTGATTAACTGGATACAAATGGTATAGAGGGAAAAAAATCAGGATTTTTTTTCCCTCTGCCCACCATTAATATGAATCATTTGAATATATAGATGGAAATCTCTGAGAGTTCTAGCAATATCTGGCAACTTGCGGAAAGGTAAGCCATCAAACAGAATGATAAGGATAACGTGCTTAGTCTAGCTGTTAACTGAAGTTTTGAGTATCGTGAGAACTGAGGTTCAGGCAACCTTGTTCTGAACTGCTTTGCCAGAACCTAGCCTAGTAACCGGCCCGTAGAAAGTGCTCAAAACCTCTGTTTTGATGTAAAATAAATGAATGACATTGAAAAATCTGTTACCTTCATTTCCTAGATGACTCACAAGAAATAAAATTCTGGAATGGACTGGAAATCCTGTTTCTTATCCTCCGCCATGTTCCAAATAATCTTTTAACACCTTTTGATATAAATGCCTGACTCACTAGCTCATCCTTTGACTCTGAGAGGTGGTTAGCTTTTGCACTGGGGTTGAACTTAGGTGCCCCTGTCGAACTGGCCCAAGGCTTGACTCACAGGTCCTCTGAGAACGAATATGGAGCCTGCCAAGTTGTATCATATTGTGTCATACAGAGGGGAGTTTTTATTCTGGCATCCTAAATATGCATTGCCAGGGTCTGTTAAGATCACCAGGTTCGCCTCCCCGCCAATCCAACCTGACTGCGCACTGGACTCCCCGCAAGGCATTACCGTATCCCCAAATGTTATAAAGTGCTTCAAGGAGGAGCCGTATTCTGTAGAAATAAAAAAAAGGAATAAGAACCATAGCTGAGAACATAGGCTAAGGATCTGTATGCCAATCATCATGGCTAAGTTTGTTATAACATTATTTCGCTGTGATCTTCATGTCAATCGTGACCTATGATATAGGATTATCTCCATTTTCCAGATGAAAAGAGAGAAGCTTAGAGAGGTTAAACAATGTGCCACAGGTCGCAGAGCTCGTGGGTGGTACACCTGGTCTTGGAACTCCATATCCTTTTTGACTCCAGAGCATTGGCTTACAACTGCCATGATTTATGTCTTCAAATGAGTATTTGAAAACAAAGGAAAAAACACATCACATAAGTTTGAGTCCATATCTAAAGGAGATGGAAAGACCTTTCTGTGGTCCCTTCCTCTTCCACAAAGAGCAGTGAGGACTTGTGTGGTCAGCAGTGCTGTAAAACAGCACCATGTGGTTTCCAAGGCTAGATCCTAAAAGTCTCTATGAGCTATCATGACATTCACCTTGCACTCTCTGGGATCACCCTCTCTGGGAAAGCCAGCCACGGTGTCACGAGGATGCTCAGGAAGGCCTCTGGAGAGGTCCATGTGACAAGGTACTGGTCTTCCTGTCAACAGCCTGGACTGACTACCATTCGTTCAGGTGAGTGAGTCAGTCTGCACGTGAATCCTGCCGCCCAGGTCAAGCCTTCAGGTAACTGGAGTGCGGGAGGAACGCCTGCGCCGCCATCGCATTGGAAGCCCCAGCCACGCCTGCCCAACGACACCGTCCTTGGATCCCTGATCAGCCCGTACTGTGTGACATGAAAATGCTGCCTGCTGCAAGCCACCGCATGTCTGTGTCCTCTGTTAGCCAACAGATAACTCACACGACGGGAACGGGCGTGCTCAAGGGAGCGATGACAGTGACGAACCGTGGA